TGCTTGCTGTCTGTTGATGACTTGCTTTTAAAGATGGGCATAATTGTACTTATGTTATCCCTTAATCTAAGGTGCAGATAGTATTTAAAACTCCGTATTTTGACAAGGACAGGTGAACTGCCCTGAAAGTTGGAGGTTATTACATTATTTAAGGTATTCATTTATTATGCTTTATTTTCGAAAATATTAGAGGTTATAGCTAGAACAGGCTGCTATAGCGTCTTGCACTCACGTGGTGGTGCTTTATGCAGAAGATGCATATACCTGTAGACGAATGTTTATTTAAATATAAAGAGCCTGTTAAGGAATCCGAACTCGCAGAATATATGGCTAATACAGAACACGGAGACATTACAATTGAGCGGAAGAGTAAGAAGTGGAAAGAAATTATTCTTAAATAATTAACAATCCGAATAAAAGAAGTGTAGAAAATTGCCCAAGAGATACTCCATGCTATTTGGTAGAATTAAAGAGGGAGAAAAAATAATAGAATTTAAACAAGAAGATTTATTAGTATGGAGTTTGGGTAGGACTATAGCATGAACAGAGCATAGATAAAGGTACGTCTAACTATAAAATAGAGCACGAATTATTATATTAGGATCAATTCACAGGTGATTTTTGAAAAAGACGAAAGTTCGGCCACATTCGAATTGACTTCACTAAAAGGATAGTTAGCAATTACCGGCGGACCAAAACGCAAAATGTCTCAATAAGTTCGGAAAAATAGGCTATATAGTGGTATCGAGGTCTACTGCCATTTTTGAATTAAGGTTTGGTGAATTTTATTAAACAAGATCATTCTTTTCTGGTGATGTCTGTCAGCTAAGTATATATATGTCAGAGGCAAAGGAAGGTATGATAAAATCAGTAATTACAACTCCGAGGCATTTTGCCTTCGATTTATATCTAGGCGCTTACGAATCCCTCCCATAAAACTATTTATATGAAATAAAAGGTCCAACGACCTTAGATCGTTGTAGGGTTCTTCAAAATTGGGTTGACCTCGTCGCAACTTGGTCTTTTTTTCAGGAAGACTATGTAGAACGCACCTAGTCCTAGATTCCCAGCATCTGACAGTGTACTTGATACATTCTCAAACGTTTCGCCGTCATCGTAGTCAGCATCATCAGTGACCTTTGCCATTCTCCGCACTAAAAAACGAACTCGTTAAAGAGACAAGTGAAGTCACTCACTGATGATGCCGACTTCGATGCCGGCGAAACGTTTAAGAATGTATCAAGTCCACTGTCAAATGCTGGGAATCAGGACAACTAATATGGCAGACGACTTCGGACTAGGTGCGTTCTACATAGTCTCTCTGAGAAAAAGACCAAATTGCGATAACGAGGTCAACCCACTTCTATAAATCGAAAGGAGACTGCGACCATACCAGAGGCCACAACATCTTGGTCTTCATATCTTCATAATATATAGTTGAAAAGGTAATCGAAAAAATAAAAAAATAATAAATGGCTCTTATTTAATTGGGCTTCAAAAAATGTATTGAGCATTATCAGAACAGCTTAACTAGGATATCTATATGAAAAATTTTTATAGGAATATTCGAAGTAGTTCCAGGCTTCATGACTAAATCGCCTGGTTCTGAAAAGGCAATACATGCTCAGTGA